TCCCAGTCCCAGCCACTTCCTATGTCAAGGATCTCAATAGCCATTGGAGCAACAATTTGACCCATCACTGGCCCATCACTTCACTTTGTGAAGATCGATTTGAGCTTCACCATCAGTAAGTCACCACAAGTCACCAGTGGCAAGAACCTAAAAAAATGACCAGTGACAGATATCATCAGAGATATGTTGGAATTGGTCTCCACTGGCCTTAAGCACATACGCTTGGATACCTAATGATAAACTTTCATGTTTCTGGTGTTTGCAATGGCTTCCCGCTGCTTCACAGACACCATGATGTTCCCAAGGAAGTGGACGACGGACTACAGGCGAAATTTTTGACTCATCTATAAAAGTCTATAAATAGTATTGGAGGAGCAATTGTGAGAAGGACAACCTCTTTGGAATCAGAGGACTAGTCGACCAGCTCTTTGTCGGCGGTCTTGGAATTGTTAACTTCCCGACAGGCTGCGCGAAGCCTCAAGCAGCCTCCTCTGAAGGATGAACGCAGGTGAATCCCGACACTTGCAAGTCCCAACAAGTGAAACGGAGCAAACGTGAGTTGAGTCCAGAAATACTATCATGCAATATGGATTCTTTTTTGGTGGATCAAGACCTGAAGCTGGCCCAGTTTGTCGTCTATCTCTGGCCGCGTTCGCGCGTTCACCACTACCGGCCTCCCCAGGGCCACCCATCGATCCTGTCTCGAACAGGTGAAAACACCCGCCTGGCCGCAGACTGCAGACCACCGCGCGACAAGCTGCTGAACCACACGGTCGGAGGATGTCCTCGCGGCAGGCGCACCGTTGATGGAGGCTTTCGCGACAGGGCGTTGGCAGCGGAATCGCGGCCAGCGGAATCGCTTTGTGAACGGAATCCGTTTTCAGCGAGAAAGCGAAAAGGCTTGATCAGAGCTGGAGTCTGTTGCATCCAACCTGCAATGGCCTCCTAATAGCAAAAGGAACCCAATAGCGATGGACTCCAACTTACTAGCCTCCAACCTACTGACGATGGCCTCCAAACCTTTTTTTGACCTTGGGTGTGTTTTTCGTTGACCTTGGCCAAAAGTCACAAGTGTTTGGGCCGCGCTTCGTGTGTCAGCAGCTGTTTGAGCTGTTCAGCTTCGCAGTCGTTTTTCTTCATGCACTGCATTGAGGGTTGATGGCTGGTGGAATTTGCATCGGCCCTGGCTGGTCATCATCCAGACCAGCCCTCTGAATCTAGGATCCTCGATTCAGAGGACCTGTAGGGGTGCTCTGAAGGGACGTTGTGCGAGCGAGCACCGCTCAGTCGCGGAGCGCTGATTAACAACATCTCGTAATTGTATTTTTTGGGGGAGTGCTGCAGCGTCCTGTTGAACAAGGCACGTCCTGTCAGATGGCGTGCAGTTTGGAAAGTCCGCAGTTTTTTGGGGGTCAAAGAACGTGACACTGCAGCAAGCTGCCTAGTAGTACTGATACTTAAGTGGTGTACTACTATACTTTGCACCACAAAGACCTTCGACAGAGGCCCAACGAAGAGAGCTCGAGGAAAAATTGCGGTGTCAATGGTTTTAGAGCTCAGCTAGCTAGCGTTGAAAACATGTCACGAGAGCGGTTGTTAAGAATGCGGCGACTAGCTCAACTTGCCTTGTTGAACTTTGCCCACGCTCCGGCTTTGTCAAAAGGCAGTTGCATGACGTTAGATGGAAGAGATCCCTAATTGCTCAGAGCTGGGTATGAAGAGTTGGGTCATGATGTGACCTGGAGCTTCATAGAACCCACTGACAAGACAGCAAGACGAAACCACGTGTTGCACCAGGTGGTTTTCTTGTCCGACACAAACGCTGACTTCGCGGGCCCCCCCTAGATGCCGCCATGCCGGCAGCCAACGTTGCCAAGTGGGGACCTCAGCTCAGGCAACCGTACCCGGCTCCGAACCTGAGAAACGGCGGTTCGATTGCCGAACGGCGGCCCGGCGGCCGTTCCGGCAACTCTGTAAAAGCCGTTCAATTCCCTGGGCTCAATGCAAGTAGTGCCATTTATGAGGACAAAACACACACAGGGATTGTATGGTTTGGGTCGGCCTCTCCGGTTTGAATGGAAAGAGGACCGACCTTATCCATCACATAATGGCCTCCAACCTACTAGCGATGGCCTCCAACACACTGAAATTCACCCCCCCAAATTTGAGGATGTCGCGCTGACCAACCTCCACTTGTTTCCCTTCCTTACAACCCTTGGAGTTATGTTCGGGACACCGAGCCACGGCGTCGCCTTCCTTGGACGTGATGTGTCCAAGCCGAGGCCCGGAAAGGCGCAGAAGGTCCGGGCAGCAGCGAGAGAGTTATAAACGGATGCAGCGAGCGAATCCCATTGGGACTGACAGTGTTTTTCCCCGTTCCAAACGACCCTTAAAACAAACATCACAGTCACATCACTGTCACATATACGACCCCGGAAGAGCCTGAAAAGACAGACATGTTGGCAAACACTTGATCGATCATACATGGATTGAATGGGGATGTCAATGTCAGCGTTAGGCATAGTGTACCCCGCTGGAACTGGAACTGGAACTCGAACTGGAACTGGACCCCCCCCCAGAAAAAAAACATCGACGCTAAACTGACGTTGGCAATCACGTCCACACCCGAGCCCAGAACTGGAACTGGAAGTGGAACTGGAACTCCACCCCCCCCCCCGAAAAAACAATCGACGCTAAACTGACATTGGCAATCACGTCCAGACCCGGGCCCAGAATTGGAACTGGAAGTGGAACTGGAACTCCCCTCCCCCCTCCCCAGTCTCCTGTGTTGGACGACGTGGAACTGGAACTGGAACTGTTCCACCCGCCCGGGGCACACTCTGGCGTTAGGTGGAGCACACCTTGGTCTCGCCCTTCGATGAGGCCCTGGAATCGGCGCGAGCGTCCCACGCGCGAGCAAACACGCGCGAGCAAACACCACGCGAGTCCTCCTCCAAGCACCGGAGCAGGTGGAACTGAACAATTCCGCAGCACCTTCGCCCTTTGACGTGCGAGTCCCAGAGACCTTCAGGATCGCTGAGTGAGCCTTGAGAGACACGGTCCGGCGGATCGCGAGGGTGAAGGCAGGACGGCACGGGGCTGCAGGTCTCAGAAAGCGCGAGGAAAAGCAGATCGGAGCCGAAGGCAAGTGGAGCGAGCCTGAAGAGTGAGCGATGTAACCGATGATCAATTATGGTTCTTGTTCCTCTCACAGATGACCAACACAACAGCATTTGTGTAGGGTTTGGGAGAGAACATGGAGTTCCTTTGAGGATTATCCATGAACTCTTTGGGACGTCAGGCTGTGCGAGAAAATGCTCGCTACTTCGTCATCACGAGCCCGTCACTGAGTTCCAGACCGGCCAGAGGATCCACTCGGTTCGTTTCGGTGAACGGGCGATTCGCCAGGGGTGAACGCGGTCGTTGGCATCGCAGGGGTGAAGGTTGTGGAGTATGTGTTTCCCGGCGCGGCTTTTTCCGGCGCACCAACTTGGCTTCTGAGGCAACAGTGCTGAGAATGCTGGGCACCTAAACCTGCGTAGATTGATGTGGAGGTTCCGGGCTGGCCACTGAAATATGGTGCCTTTTAAAGATCTTTGTTGAAAGGTATTGTTTGTGTTGAGTTTTTAAGTGTTCCTATTGCTTTGCTTGCGATTGTAGCTTGTATATGTATAAAATTGTATAAATATCAATACCAACTTGCCGCATTGCTTCTTGGTTGCTTCGCTTTCGGGTTAGGGTCTGCCCTCCACACCCCCCGTGTCAGCTTAAGACCAGCAAGTTGCGATGTCCGTTCGCCCCTTGGCGTCTTTGTGTCACTTCGTGTCACTTCGAGGTGGTTCGATCAGTCCGTCCAAACCTCGGAGCGGACAGCGGCCGTCGGCTGAGCTGTCGGTCCACGGCCGAGCCTTTTCGGTTTCAGGTCACAACGTCTGGGCGACGCAGCGCAAGAACGAGTCGAAGCTCGATGAGGCCGAGTACGCTTCAGTGGAAAGCCGAACCGCAACGTGGAGTCGCGGTGATTTCAAAGGCAAACGGAAGGGTAGTGCACAGAAAGGGTTTTGCAAAAACCTATTCTACTAACGTCGTGGAAGGCGCGTGACCTTCGTAGAACCCAAGGCTGTTCGTGGACAGTTCGTGGAATGGTGGGCCAGTAGGAGAACTGACTGCAACGAAATCCCAGAAACCTTCACAGAACTTCGTGGAAGGTATTTTTGATGCACTAACTTCGTATAAGCGAATTCTGCTGACCCCCTTTCTCCACACACCCTCCGTTTAGCCTTCATGATTGAAGGGTGAAAAATCGAGCCAAATCCAGGCCTACAGGAGTGGGGCTCAAGTGATTTTGCTCTTCTCGGTGCAACGAAGCGAAGCTTATCAAGGTGGGACAGAAGCGAGTCACAGAGTGGCATGTCGTAGAAAGACCCATTGATGCCGCAAAAGAATGGTTGATGGCGCAGCAGCTTGCAGCAGCTGAAACTTTCAATCGGTCATCAATTTCCAGCTTTGGTTTCCACAAATAACAACATCAACTCATCTTTCAGCTGAAACTTTCAATCTTCCAATCTGAGGATACGCACAGATGAGGAGTGCTGTGGGCCGATCGAAGCTCAAAGGCCCCTTCTCAAACGAAAAGACACCCAGCTTTGTTGTGGCCGCGCAGATCATGACCCTAGAAGTCCAAAGAACTACATAGACACGATACATATTTATTACAATCATATAGAACATACTACATCTTTACATTTAACTATGGAGTTTTGTCAATGTTCTTTTTTTACCAATGCCTGCTTCACGTGAAGCAAAGGAAGTTCTCTTCTTTTACTCTCCCCGAGACCTCGTCCTCTCGTTTCAGTCGTCGTCTCCTCGCGGTTTTGTCCTGGTCGACCGAGGGACAGGACGTGATGGGTCTCGTTTGTCAGGTGCTGATCCCTTCAACGGCTTCGGGCGACTCTTCGACGTCGAGTGGTGCGCCGGGCGTCGGTTGTCCACGGACCACACTTTTCGGGAACCCTGGACTGGAGCGAGGTGTTTTTTCACCATGGGAGAACGTGTAGTTTTTTAAGGGCGTGTTATTAACCCTGAGAGTCCAGTCATGACTCACTTTACACCCTATGGTGGTGGATTATGACTTCCAGGTGGGGTAAGGTGAGTCATTGGAAGTTCTGGGATTTTTGTCAGGGACACCCGATTCGCCCCAATGATGCCCAATGTTTGTTCCCCGACCCGAGGGGGGCTTTACACAACTGCTGGCATGGTCTCGCAGGATTTTGCTAACCAAGCCCTCAGCGGAAGGAAGAGCAGGATTGTCAGCACAGACAGACATGGCATGCTGTGCGCAACCGGATGATGCGGAGCTGGTGGCTGTTGAGGCCTTCAACGTGAACTTGCAGCCTGAAGGACGGAAAGACCGTTTCGATCGGGACATGATCAATCACAGCTACCAAATGCTGCGAGCGTGAGCTATCCTGCGTCCTACCTAGGAGCTTACCTCCCTACTTAATTGATCTTAATTAAGTAGGCGCTTAATTACTTCATTGAGTGAGGAGGCAGGGCCACAGGCTTTAGCAAAAATGAACCCTACAAGGTTGGTCAGCTAGGTCGGATTGTGCCGCTGGAACAGCGCTGAAACAGTTGCTTGTGGAGGTCAGGTGAAGATTGACGAGCTGACTCAACAAGTGCCACTTGTGGCTGCAGACAAGTCAACTCCAGTCGCTGTGAACCACCAGAATTCCAAAGATTTCTGCCCAGTCCACCTTCGTGGGTTAATTCCCCACAGCTCATGCAGTTGAGGGTCACCTTTCACCGTGGTCGGCTTATAAGGTCTACCATGAAAGAGCAGCTCGAGAAGCGAGATGCTGAGATGGAAAAGCAAGGGACGGCGATCGAGCTGCAGGCAGTTCAGATCAAGCAGTTGAAAGCCCAGTGTGAGCAGCTCGGCTCCGAAGAAAGACGCAGAGCAGAATTTCTGCCGCCTCAAGTAGTGCAAGCTTCCAGTATGTTCATCGACAACAGAATGTCGTTCCGAACAACATGGAAGAGAACGAGATCACTGTAAGATCATATTAGAAGAGGCATGAAGAGGTTTTTCAGGTTGCTTGCAGTAAAGCATGTCCTTTAAAGAAGATATCGCACATAGGTCCTCCCAACATGACATGACAAATTTGTGCTTTGTATGAACACATGACTCAGCTGATGCTACGCATTTGCTCATATTTTTCCATGTCTTGCATTGACAGTTGGAAGCTCATGAGGACTGCATTGAGCATGGCCCAAGAGGCAGCACCAGCTGTTGAATGGGGGTGCCTTACGCAGCAGCAGAAATTTATGGTGCAATTCCTCTTCGTTTTGGTGTTCTCAGTCATCGCAGTGCCCCTTCCCTTGCTGATCCCTATCAATGATCCGAACTTGGGAGCGCTTGGCAACATGTCCTTCTTTTATGGGTACAACATCTTCGTGATCGTCTACTACCTCCCCGGTCGCTTGTTGGCATTGCTTGTTGTGAGTGGACATTGCTTTGCCCAAATGATCTGCAGACATGCGTCGACAGGGTCTGCATGTGACCCTTTGATTTCGAGGGTCTGTAGGATGTTCTTTACAGCACACGAACACACAGAAAACACACCATTTCGGGTGGTTTGGGTGATTTTTCAGACACATGGTGAGGGTACGGAGGTGTGACACACGAAGTGTTCCACTGTGTTCCAGAAAACACCTGTGCTAGGACAATACCGACGCCTCGAGCTCCTCTTGGTGCGCCCAGCAGATGGGAAGGAGATGGCCAGGTCTTCCAGTGCCATCAGTTATCTTGGCAAAGTCACCTGGCAAGACACGGCCAAGAGGGTGATCTTCTACCTCTTGGTGATCTTTGGTTGGTGCACTGGCTACTTCTTGTGCGCCGTGCCATGGGGAACAAACCTCATCTACTCCTACAACATGCTTTATGGTGCTCCTCCAACCTTTGCCATGGTGGACTGGCTGTTCCTGGTCCTAGCCGATCGAAGCTACTGGAACGTCAAGACCCTTATACTCATTTTTGCCTACAACTTCCTTACGCTTGCACCTGTGCTGCTCCTGTGCGGCATTGTCTTCGCCAGCGCATTCTTCAACACCCCCGTGCTGATTCTTTGTGCTGCCCTGGCATCATGGATCCTGATGGAAGTGGTGGGGATCGTTTCTGACAAGGCCAGGAACTGTTTTAGGGACAGAACCTCTCACATTCCTTGGCCATCCCTCACCAGATCTCGCCATATTTGGCTTCCAGGTACTGCAAATTCTGATTCCATGGGCAGGCTACAGCCTCGAGCACTACTACCAGGCCATTTTCGCGTCTGATGGGTACTGTTCACAACCACAAGTAGGTAGTTCGACACGTCTGAAAAGGGGGTACTACGTCTTTTGAGGGCTGTTATGGGCTGCCACTTTTCCAGTGCTATAGCAGGTTTGGTTCAATGCGGAGGTCTTTCTTGGGGTACTTACGACTTGGAACCACTTGTTTTGTTTGAAACTTCCATCCTGAAGTACTTCGAAGATGTGAAGAATTCTGTTTTTCCTATAGCAGCATGTCGTGACCGCGTCTTACAGTGAACCACTCTCAGACCCTTGGGGCGCTTGAACTCGGCACGACCACACGCGCGAGCTCCACTGAACTCACCACCGTCGCGACCGGCGGTTCGCGCTGAACTCACCAAACGCCGACAGGTGGGTAATTCCTTGGTCTTCTCCTGCTTGCTGACATTCTCGGAGGTGAGAACCGAATGTCGAGCTTCCTCCAAGTTGAGAATTGAAGCATGTTCGTTGAAACCAGACTTTTCGCCGTTTTGAAGACATTTTTTTCATGGAAGCACAGATGTGAAAGTTATAGCATATTCTTGTCATGTCCATGTGACACTTGCGACTGCAATGAATGTACCTTGCAAAGAAGTGTGGGACACTTTTCAGCGCTTCATTGGCCAGGTGATCCTGTTCCCCAGCACGAACTCTTGGTGGGCCCTTGTGGGAGTCGTGATTGTCGACACCATCGGAGCTGCTCTCCAATTGCGAGTCCTTTGGAAATGCGTCGTCTCAGACAGGAGACGTACGGAGACGTCTTGTGTGTTTGTCGTCCTTGGTGTTCATCGCTCTCTTGGTCTTTTGTCGCTTGTTGCTTTATTATCGTCCGGACTGTCGTCTACCTATATGCCTAACCGGTGGTGGCCTCCCAATAGTGATGGCCTCCCACCTCATAGTGAGGGCCTCCAACGTAGTAGCGATGGCCTCCAACCTGGTAGCAATGGGCCTCCCACCTAGTAGCGATGGCTGCCAGGAGCAAGGGAGAAGGCATCAGCCAAGAAACCCGTGAGGCCTTGTGGTCCCAGTGTGAAGTTGATGTGGCACGGTTTTGGCCCGTGCTGGTCGCACTACCTCCACTTATTTGGCTGATGGACGATCGCAATCCGAACCGTCAGTACTACTACCTCTTCGATTGTACCACAGCTGAGCACATGAATATCACTGTGGTGTGCATCCTGGTGAAGTTGGGGTGGACGTGTGCTTTGACGACCGTGGATGTGGTGTTGTGCACTTCTTGGGGGATTGGACTAGAGAGGGCCAAACAACTCATGAAGATGTACGACAAGCATTGGGTGATGATGACCGCAACCTTTGCTTTGAGTGGGGCACTTTTCACCAGCTGCTGGCTAGTGAAGCACGATGGCCTACGACTGTTGGAAGTGCTCAGCGAATGTTGAGCAACTTCTTTTTGCATTTGTTTTTGCACTTTATATTTTCATTTTTCCATGTTGGCCCTTGGCGGCAATTGGCGGCATGTATTGAAGAGCTGCTGCTATATTTGCATGCCTGTAGTCGACTGCTTGATCCGATGAAGCAGATTGGCATATCGGATACTAAACTTGCCCTATACTTGATTCGAAGAAGCTCGAAGAAGCTCAGCTAAAAAGACTGGAAGTGGATCTCACGTGCATGCATGGTAGATCCAGTGAAAATGAATGTAGGCGGAAGTCTGAGTTCGTTTGGGCGAAGGTGAAAAGCTTTGTCTAGGCTCATGTCCCTCAAGACTCATAGTCATAGGATCTCATCAGACTCTAGTCTCACATCTCTTCATGGCTCTGAGCAGCAGGAGTGAGACCTGATGTTTTTGTCGGGCTTCAACTGCCCTCACTAGATGCTGCAGACTCGCATGGCAGAGGTTCATTCCTGAGATTTTTCGGCCAAGGTCAAGTCTCACCACTTGGGCATGGTCATATAAAGAATATATATATATATAGAAAGATCGTCGACTCATGGTGTGTATATGGTATTATACGACATGTGGTGCTTCTTCAAGTTCAATCTCACAAAGCTTTGCCCCAACAATACACGGGGGGTGAACAGCCAGCCGACGACTGTCAAGTCGTCCCCGCACCCTACAACTTGAGCGGACGGCCGGAATTCGATCCAAGCAACGAATCGATTAATTCGTAGGCAAACGAGTGGATTTGTTTTTGTTGGGAGAAAGGTGGTGCTCCTGGCGGATGGATATGATTCTTGTCAGACACCTGTACAGGCTTCGCCTCTATGATCTTCCTTTCCGTGAGGCGGGACGACTGGCGATCCGCCCGATCTGTCGCCGTTGTCTTGTTCTTTCGCGTTTGGACCTTGCAGTCGCGTGTCAACGCCAACGGCGCGGTCGTACAGCAATCGGTCGTCTTTCCGACTCGTCCGTGGTTTCGTCAACGGCCGGATCCGCCCGATCGAGGTGCAGCACCTTCGAAATCCCCTGGCAGAGGATGGTAAAGTGACCATGTCGCGGGATGGACAGGAGCGGACGATGCACTTTCTCATCGCAACATCGGTCGGATCGACCGTGGTCGAGAGTAGGTGGTCCGGAGTAGGTTGACCGACCGGGGACGCCGAAATCGGTGGTACGAGGGTAGCATGGATAAATTTCACTCATCCTGGAACTTGTTTTCCAATATGTCTCCAATCCAAGTGAAATGCATTTGCATGTCAGGAGCTCGCCAACAGTGTCGGCCACAGGCAAGTGCCTTTGGTTAGCGGGGTCATGATGGTTCATTGAGCTGAAATCGTCCATCTGGCCCAAATAGCCTCGGAGGGCGATTAATTATTGATATGATTTGATATGTATATTTGTTATTTAGGTCTGTCCTATAACCTGTAAGAGTCAGTAAACTATTTTTGAACCAGGCCTTTACTAACCATCATCATCCACTGTTGCAGGTATACGGTATACGGTATTAGGATAGATCCAATATAAACTATTATATGTTTGATTATCCCCACATCTTTGTGTGGGGTTGGGGTTCTTGCTTTTGCCGGGCACATCCTCCTTCCTTCCCGCCTCCTCCCGCCCTCCTTCTTCTCATCATCTCATCTCACTCACTCATCATCTTTATCTTCTCATCATCTTCATATTCTCATCAACTCCTTCCTTCCTTCCTTCCAACTCAACTCAACTCAACTCAACTCAACTCAATCAATTCAACTCAACTCAACTTGACTCATCATTTCAACTCTACCACTTCTATCGCTCAACTCAACTCAACCCAACTTATCTCAACTCTTCCTTTTTTCCTTAGATGGCACGGTGGCAGCAACAGGTGGTACAGCGTATCAAAGGACCAAAGAATCATCCATGATGGGATTGCCTACCAGCTTGGGGTCATCAGCTGGGTGCTCAGACCAAAAGCTTGCAAGCTCTGCAGCCACTTTTTCCAGCCATGAAAACAATCTTTTGTCTACCACCGCTGGGACCCCACCCAACTCAGTATGGCTCAGGCAGAGTCATGCTATCGGATTTGCAAAATCTGAAAGCAATTTGCTCTGCATTTCACAGAGCTGGTCCTGTGTCACTCAGTGGCTGCGTGGCTGTAACAGCCCTGTGGAGCGAGTCGAGGTGCGATCGCACTGTTGATCTTGGGACCCGGGGCCCTCGAGCAACACCAGGAGACGAACGTGGGTGACTTCGTTGGGGTGCTCAATTCTTTTCTTCCCTCTTGGACACTACTAGTAACAAAGGCATCGCTACTAGTAGCAAGGGCATCGGTATACCATCCTTTCCTTCTTCCATCCTACCTTCACCCTCTTGACCCTGACCCCTTGAAAACCTTCCTTCTCTGGCTCCAGGTCCAAGGGTTGAGGAAGTGCCGGCTGCTGACTCTCCATCATGCGCTGACGTCGAAGCATGTGCTGGGCGGTGGATGATCAAGAAACCCCAAACTCAGAACTTTGCTCTTGCGTTCCACAGGTCGGGGGGGCCCGCAAGTTCCACAGGCTGGGATTCCAACCCCCTAAAATTCAACCTTCTGCTTCTGTTGTGCCCTTTCAGTGAGGGACACCCTCTACCTGAAAGCGTCTATGCCCTGCCAAGTGGGGGGAACCCACGTGGCAAAATGCCAGTGATCTTGACTTCTCCGGCCTATGTCTAGTGTCCAGAGGGACCTAGTCGTCGCTGAGCTACTTCTGCTCCCAACCGTGCTTCTATCCGCTGGCTTATGTTGTCGAAGCCCGAGCCATTTTACAACGGTTTCATACTGTTTCTGTGGATTTACAGCATGGTGGTGGTCATCCGGCTGCTGATTGATGCTAATTCATCTGCATGAATTTTCACTTCTCTACTGATCTATATATTAGCTTATGGCCTACCTGGCACTTGCTCCAGCCACGATGTTGCGAAGATTGGGAAGACCTCAAGACTTGGGCCTTCGCAGTGTTTCCTCTGAGCTTCTCCTTTTCCCTTCAGCTGCGGCTCGGGCTTCCAGAAGATCTCCAGCTTTGGCGTTGGGTCGTCTTCGCTTCCCTGGGCTTCCTCCAACTGGCGCAGCGGCCACGGCTCCTCGGCCTGGTCCAGCTGCTCCTGTCCCCGCACCAACTCCTGGACGCCACGACGAGCTGGCTGCACCTGGGCGAGGGTGCGCTGCGAGTGCTGCAGTGGGCGTTGGGCCTCTTCGGTGGCTTTCTGCTGGAGCTCGGGGAGGCGGAGAAAACCCCCCGCGGGCGGGCAACTCGTGCAGCGCGCGGGAGCGCCACGCCGGAGGAGGAGAGTAAAGTGCCTCCGGAGATCGTGAAGATGTAAAAGGGGCTGCATTGAACAGAGCATCAAAACATGTACGTATGCCACAAGGATGATCAACAGTTTCAAGTGCATCTCCACCTCGATCGTTTCAAGCTGCTCTTGGTGGCAAGGAGGAAGCCGTGATGCATACTCAACTCTAAAAGGAACATAAAGGAACTACCTAGCAAAACCCAGGACAAGGACGAAATCAGGCTACATTTGTACGCTCACACATTACTGAAGGAACTACCTACCGACGCCAAATGAAAAAAGTAAAAACAACAAATCTAATCTCTATATAGCAATTACAATCTTAACATTTCGGCCAAAAGCCTCTCCCTTCATTATTGGCAAATCCTGGTTTCGTGTTGTTCGGAGAGACATGGACAGAGGGTTACAGCCAGTTCTTTCTAAAGCCGCTTGGAACTTCTCGCTCTTCTCACCTATTCCTCTCCTCTCTTTTCTCACCTTCCTCCGCCGGAGTCGCACCGGTCGTCTCCACTTCGACAGGCTGTGCTCCATGATCGACAAGCACATTGACCAACCTGATAGTTTCCCACTTCAAGAGGCCCAGTGTGGTTCATGAGCTTAAGACAATGGCATGGCATGCAGCCGACCTGCACAGTCCCTCCATCATTGACGTATACGGTGAGGTTAACACGCGATATCGAATTTAGCTGCTACAGCTCAATTTGGTGGTGGATTTCAATTAACCATTCAACGCCTTGCATTTGTTGCAAACGTGGTGTTTTAACTTTTAACACAATACCGACAGTACCTGCAACATGTTTTGAATGGCCAGGTGTCTTCCTTCCAAGCTAGAATCTTCGATGCACTTGAGAAAAACAAAAACACTTAGGTTCCGACCTGCATGGAGCGAAAGAACCTACGACTCAACATACCCCCACCCCACCTGAGGTGCTGATGGTCGCCCTCTCAGAACCGAAATCACTCCGTGCTTCGAAGTCTCTCGACGCCTGAGGCGGTTCAATCAAGAGGAGGTGGGTCCGCTACGCGACCCCAGCGATGGCGAGGGGCGAGCACAGCGATGTTTGAGCAAGACTGAGAAGTCATCGATTTGGACGAAGACGATGGGTTTGATTGTTTGCTTTAGATAATCAATATATACACACGAATATTCGGCCCTTGTCAAGTCCGTGCCAGGAAATTTCAGCACGCTCCTCACCCGCTGGAAGATGGTGAGGGCTCCCAGGTTGTACCCCACGCACTGGACCAAAACGGATCAGGATCTCACCTCAGGAATTTCTCTTGAGATGTAAGGTTTTGAGAAGCAGGTGGACTTCTTTTTGAGCATGCAGTACGAGGAGCAGAAACCCGCCAAATGTATCGTGTGTGTGTGTGTGTCACATGCCTTTATAGTGTACTGGTCCCCAAATAGATAGAAAGGCTTTCCAATACATTCTTATAGTGGGGATCTACTTCTCTATCTATTTGGGGGTCTACTATATATATATATAATAAAAATTAACAAAATTAGCATATATTATAGTATGTCCCGCCGAGGGCCGAGGTCCGGCTGAAATTCTCAATTGCCTGGCGTTCGGTTCCTTCCAAACGGCCTCCGTTCTCCACGGAGCCCAGCCGTCGCTCGGGTCGAGGACTACGTGGAATGGTGGAAACATTATGGTGCCTCGAGTCCAGGAACTTGGTAGCTCTGCCGACCCTGTGATGCGTGGCAGAAAGCTTTGCTATAGTGTTTTTGCATATGCTGCTTGTGCTTCGCTATCCTCCCTTTTTGGGGGGGTTTCGAATCGCTGTTTGTTTTGGATTGCGCAGGACCTACTCCACCCCCCTGAGACTGTGGCTAGAACAGCTGGACTTGGTGCAAAGGCATCGCGAAGACATCAGAGAGAAATTCAAAAGG